TCCTAGGACCCAAGATGAAGTGTCAAAATCCTGAGGCAGACAGAGATCACAACAAACTGATTACCAACAGGAAGTGGCTCCATTATGAGCTTAAAGATAGGAGAGAGTGCTCTCTGGTTACAGCTTTAACTCAAATCCACACATTCCTGCAGGGTTTAGGGAGAGCCGGGTCACCCCTGAACTGGGTCCTGCAGGGTTCTGGGGAGAGCCGGGCCACCCTCACTCTGCTCCCCAGTCACGGCCTCAGCCCTGGGGCGTCGCTCAGGGCAGAGCGGGGACGTGGGAGGGATTCTGGGCGCTTGGGGTGGCCTTACAGTCAAAGGACACTTGACAGCCGTTGCATAGTGACTTTGCACACCTGCAGCGAGAGGCTGTGTTGTGAAGCACATTCTCTTGGATGTAGATGTAGTGAAGCTCTCACGATTAACAGACTCCATCGTTTGTTCATTTCTGGAGAGAATGCCACATTTTTTCAGACATCGAACAACGCTGATATACAGCGTCTGGCCAAATTGGGAGCTTCACATTGCAAAAGCTGACAACTGATGTGGAAATATGAGATACTTTAAGTGCAGGAATCTCAAGCGTCTGGAGCAAATCATCATCTGAAATGTCTCAGAGCCAAAGTTCTATTACCATTGTCTCAGCGGGCTTTTGAGACAATTTTCTAAACAGTCCACCAGGGACTTCTCGCTCAGTGCATTCCTTCATCTCACTAATGTGATTAGAACAGTGTTCGACTACTTTTATGATCTGCACTCAAAACCCTAACGGTTCCTCTGAGAGTAGGAGACGCTGGAAAAAGGAACAATTGAGACAATTGCTGAGCTGCCTCCCCGGGGAGTGAAGTCAGAGCCGAAGTGAAGAGAAGGATTGTGCTGGGTTGGGATCAGTGTGGGCAGGAGATGCAGAGTCATGTGCACGATGGAACATCTCACTCAGAGAAATGCTACTGACTTGCTTTTTCTTTTCTTTTTTTCTTCCTTGAGCATGCAGAATGTCGGGAGAACATTTCAGTCCTTTGTTTGTTTTTTCTACACGTCGTTTGGAGGCGAGTCGCACAAGGTTCCGTTTGCTGGGAATAGCTTTGAAACTGAGGCCAAAGCCGAGGCGAGTCGGGGAGGCCTGGTCTCAGTGTTGGTACATGTATACATGTGAATTATTTACTTGTCGTCCAGCAGGAAATGAGGAACGATAACAAGCTTGGGAAAGAAAAGCAGAAAAACAAACAGATGGTATCTCATCCCCGCCTTCATTTCATCCTTTCTTTTCTCTCCCTTTTCTTTTATTGTGTCTCATGTTTCCTACTTGAGTCACATTTAAATAAAGCAGCTGGACATTATTTCACAGTAAATCATTTGAGGTACTTTGGACTCATAACTGTTAGTCCTGGTTGCTGTTTATTATAACACACCTGCAGTGTGTTTCCAGGTGTTGTTGTACTACTACACATGTGAACAGTTGTATAACGTCTTTCATGGATGCTGGAAAAACACCACAAAGTCTGATAAAGTTTGATTTGATCTCATTTGAGCCTGTTTCAACGGGGGCTAAAGACAAAAGTCTGGGGTGGAAAGAAGTGAGTTTAGCAGACTTCCCTACTCGGGCCACGAGGCTCGATGCTGCATTAAGTGGACCCTACGACAACATGACAAAGCTCCGACCGAGCTGTCAGCAGAGGTGCACTGTGTGTGACGCACTAGTCGGTGACAGAAGATTGTGTGCAATAAAACAGACAATATGTCTCGTTCAGGCACAGTGAGTACGTATTTTTAAACTCTCCATGACGAGCTTGAAAACAGATGTCATTGCAGAATTTGGGCTTCTGGTGTTACTGTAGTACCACCGCGCCTCGTCACCAAGCTGCTCCATCATCAGCGTGCTGTTGGACTGAGTCAGACCTTGTGATGATCTCCTGACCCAGTTTTTGACTCTCCTTCTCCTCCTGACCTCTGCTCGACACCTCCTCTCATCCCTAACCTTTCAATCCCATCAGCTTCACCGTTGCTCAGCCACCTGTGACCAGGCCTGGCTGGTGGCCTTTGACCCGAGAAGGTCACGATTAGAGCCGAGACTCGGAGCAGCAGAGGTGGGGACCGGGCAGAGAGGAGACGCCTCTGGACTGAGAGCTTCAGCCCAACCAGGCTGAACCTTGCTCTGGAGCAGTCAGGTCGCCACACCCAACATATCTAGACAGCTGCATATCAAAGGCGCTGGTCATTAGTGCGGGCGGTTGGGGGCTGATTTTTTTTCATCAGGGTGTGGGGATCATGGAGGAAAGAGAAAGCAGGGAGACTCAATGGAGGCTGGCAGGCATTTTAATTAGCCTGAATTTCCCCAGTCAAGGGGGATAGAGTGGAGCAGAGATGGCGTCTCTGGGAACACAGAGAGCAAGAGGAGAGGGCAGGAAACAAAAGAGAGAGAATCCGGGAGAAGGGCAGGCTGGGGGGGTAACACACCCAGGGGCTACACTCGCTGTGCCAGATCTAAATGTGCAGCACCAAATAAAACGTACTCTCATGAGACGGCGGGTTGCTGCGTCGAGTTGTGGGAGACAACAAATACACATGCAAACACGCACATGCCAAATTCTTCCCAGCCATCTTATCTTGTAAATTTTTTGGCAATCGTCATATAAAACTTGGAATTTGGAGGGATGCGCGTAAGAAGCCATCCTGTAGGAGGCAAAACGCTTCCATGGTGGGAGAAATTCTTTAACATTTATGTCAGTAAGCATTTTCTAGGTCCTGTCTGTGAAGCCGGTGAAGCAGTTCCTCACAATCAACTTCCTCTTCCTGCACGCTCATCCACGTCTTCACCCTCTGTCTCGACCATCCGCTCTGCCCCACAGGTTCACCGAAGGTTGTAGGTTTAAACATCACAAGAAGTTCTGCACCACACTGAGCGAGTCGCTGGCCCACAGCAGGTAACTCGGGATGGAAGGAGCAAAAGTAACAGTGGTGCTGTTGTGGTCACGCATCCTCCAAAGCCTCCTCCTCTCGTGGGCCACCTCCGGTGCAGTGAAGGAGAGAGAAGAGAGGCACAAACAGCAGAGACAACAAGTATGAGTAACCAGCTGGCTGTCAGCAAAATGTGGTAAAAATATGACAAGAAGAAGAAAAAGTTACAGCCTCACTGAGCCAAATGCTACGACACAAACCCTGATCCAAATGTTTTCTTTCCTAATTACAGACTTGGATCTGTTCAGCTTCGTAAGTGACTCGTTTGATTTCGACTGAGCAGAAGTGGTGACAACGATCTGTGGTGCCAAAGCATTTAAAAAAATAAAATCTAGCATGCACACACAGGAAGTAAAACTGCTTCTCACCTTGGCATCAACACCAGATGCCCTCCAGTCATGTGCTGCTGGAAGGGCTTCACCTCAGCCCTGGCGATGGACACACAGCTACCTGAGCCGGCGTCGGCCTGGTTGGTGTCTCTGTTGTCGGTGTTACGGGCAAATTAGGAGCACAGCAGCTGCGTGGTGCATTTTAAGGACAAAGAAAGCATAAAGGGCCCAAATATAGACCGGAGTGACCCAAATTAAAGGTTGGTAAAGGAGTGTGTGAAAGTGCACATTTGTTTGCACTCTCTTATTCTCACACTGGCAGAGTGCCACCGTGTCAAGGCTTCATCTTACTGCTCATGTGACAGTGCCAAGTTCTGTCCTCAACTGGCCCACCCAGGATGCCCCAGTAACACACACACACACGCACACGCACGCACACACACACACACACTTTATTTTGTTCATTTAAGTTCATCTAGTCTAACTAATACTGGTTCTTTGACAAACACACTGGATGTTGTTTGACAAACCATTTAGCAGCTTACTCCAGAGCTTTAACCTGTATTACATGGAGACGTAGGTTGAGCTGCTCTTTAGTCCTTGTTGACCTAAAAAAAAAAAAACTTAAGTTCACACTTGACTTTGGAAATTTTATTTATTTTTTTCCTTTTCTTGTTTCGCCCCTCACTAACTTTACGGGAGATTTCATCCACGCGCATTCATTTCTCGTTTTGTATCCGTCTAATCTTCAATTATCTGCTGTTCTTCCAGGTTCTATGTTCAGCTCCACGTACAGCTGCATCCTCGCTCGGGAAGCCAAACCAACAGCAACACTGACGTTGTGATGCAGAGAACAACCAAGAGAAGCAGGAGTTCTAAGAGCCGGTAGTGCAGAAGCTTCTTGGATGACAGCTGGTCTTCTAGAACCTCAACGCAACGATTGTCATGACCTGATGCAGTGATGCAGCCAATGAAAAAAAATAAAATTTAAAAAATCAGTGTCAGTATTGTCTGAAACGAACCTGACAAATTACTAGAGAGAATAAGAGAGAAGAGTCAACTATTGCACGCAAGGCTGCAATAAAAGTTGTGATCGTTAATTTATTATAACTGCAACGAGAAATTGTGCTTGTGCTGGAAATTAACAACAACAACAACAAAAAAGCTTCATGTGTGGTAGTCTGTTGTCAAATTGACGAAGCTGCATAGGTGTGAGTGTGCATGTGTGGGAAGTGGGGGGTATTAAACTCAATGTCAGCGAGTTGGGGGCACATTCCTCAGTTGATTTAGTGGGCATTAAGATGAAGAGGAATGTGTCAAAGCTGCAGAGGCTTTAGTCCACTGTGGTGTAAACTAGCTGGGAGGAGTCTGACGGATGACTGACACTGGACTTAATGTGAGAAGGATGGAGAGCAGAGAAGAGCCAACAGAGGGAGGCTGGGAAGGACGGCAACGTAAGACCGAAGAGGACGGTTTGTGCTTCAGAGAAACACAAAGGAAATGAAACAGAAATACAACATATAGGGGGGGATAGGTGAGCACTAAAAGGGCATGAGCTGAGATAAAAGGAGAGAGAGAGAGAGAAGTAAGTCTGGTCAGGAGAGGAGGAGGAGAGGATGCCAGAAGTTGGGATAAACGAAGGGGAAAGAATGTGAAAAAGAGTCACACTCACACTGGGACAAGGAGGAAATAAGGACTCGAATCAAAAGGATTTCAGAAGCTTATCTTTATTTGCTCAAGATGGTTTGATAGTTGAAAGAAAAAGATACAGAGAGAGAGAATACAGAAAGTTTTTTTCTTTAAAGGTCCCATTTATCGAACATCAGTCGCTGGGTCAGTTGTGCAACTTTGACAGATTACAATAGATGAAAGGAAAGCAACACAAGTTTCTATAAGTTGTTTTTTTTTTTTTTTTTTTAACTCTTTCTTATTTATAACATAGAATTCATGTCTTAAAAACAGCTAAATCAAACTGCTGTATTGACCCAATGTTACAAACTCTAAAGTGGTGCAAAAGCTCGTATCTAGCAATATACATGGAACAAAATCGGCTTAAAAAAAGCATCAGGTAAGACGTGTGTGTGTGTGTGTGTGTGTGTGTGTGCTGAAGATCTGTTCAGTCCTGAGACGGTGTAAGCATATACAGTATGTGTTTCGTGTCAGTGTGTTTGCGGAGTGGAGTGATTTCACTACCTTTGGAAAAACCGCAGCTCACAGATCAGACTGAGCTGTCGCAGGGAATATCGGATAAAGAAGGTCTCTATTGAAAAGAAAGCAACTCGTTCAGAAATTTGGCTGGTACACGCTACATAACTGTAAAATCTTTAAAGGATAACTTTAATGATTTTCTGTATTTTTTTTTTTTTATTGCCAACAAATCACATGAAAAGACCAAAAGCAGCAATGGACCGATCCGACTAATGAGTAGGATCTGAGTATCAAAAGCCTCGTTAAGCTCATGTCGTAGAAATCCGCTGAGCCACACCTCTGTAACTGGCTCAATTATTTCCCCATTGCTAAAAATGTGGGCACCATATCATATTTAGAAAAAGCTCCACAGGCTAACGAGCGTCTCTGTAGTCTAGTAGAAATACAACAAAGACGTCACACTACGAGAGCCCGTAGTGACGACTACAACTGTGCTCATCGATGCCATCAGAGGCAGAATGTAAATGCTGCTGTGCTGCTAGATCACGTGTTACACTCACCACAGCGGCTACTCAGCTCAAGAAAACTGTCCTTAGAATAGGACTGCAACTAGTCAAGGTCAGTTACTTTCTTGATTAACGTATTAGTTGTCATAAAACGGCGAAAAATGGCGACAAGTGTTTCCGAAAGACGATTTCCTCAAACGTCTTGGTTCATTCACAACCCAAAGATGGTCAGTTTGCTGTCATAGAGGAGTAAAGAAACCAGAAAATATTTACATTTAACAAGCTGCAATCAGATCATTTTCTAAAAGAAATCACTCAAACCAATAAACCTGTCATCAAAACAAGCTCTACTTCAGGAGAAACGGTGAACATCATGTGATCCAGACAGTCACTGGTTGTGCGATACCAAGGAAAGAACACTTCGCTTTGTTATAAAGTCGAGTCATGCTAACTTTTCACATACGCATATTGATAGAATGGATATCAGTATACACGGTGAAAAGAAAAAGCAGCAACTGCTGAGAGAATGTACACGAGTGTTCCTGCCGTTATTAGTCTGGAGCTGCTGCTAAACAAGCGACGGCCGCCGCACATGCTCCACGAGGAAACCCAGCGCAACTCTTTAGCAGGAAGAATCTGTCGCTGGCTTCGGTCTTTTCATGGATTTGTCGACAGAGTTCGCATCAAACTCAACATAGAACACCCTCCCAACTGATGTCAGTAGTAGAAGCACACTTACGAAGCACTGTGAATGAATGAACAGCCGAGAATTGTTTGTTTTTTTTTTCTTCATACCTCTACAGCTACGTTTTAGGGAACAGAGGTCTGTGCCGTGCGTCTCCGATTTGACCTAGAAATGGCACCACGCACACCCAGAAGTGAAAAGAAGGCAAACCACAGCCAGCGAGCAAAGAAATGTGCACTCACTTCGTCCCGCTGTACGCAAACATGACTTTACTTCCTTCTTATTTCCTGAATTTATCCGTACCCTCCATAAATTAATCAAAGTGCAAACACCCCTCTTTGTCAGTCTTGAAGCATGCATCATATACAGTTGGCACACTGTACGCATGGCTCATTCACATCATCTGTCCTCGCTCACATTTTTACACCCCTGCATGTTGGTTTGGACATAAAGCTACGTGACAGCACAGATCAAGTCAAAGTGCACAAGGTCGAAAGAAAGAAACGCGCAAAATGGAAAAAAAAAAAAAAGGCAGGCAATGAGCGCCCCCGTCGCTGTGGATGTAAAACCCATGTCCTTCACCCTGCTTCCTCACTCCTTCCCACCCGCCGACCAAAACTCTGATGCTGATGTTGCACACCTGCTGGTGGAGCCCGGAGGGGCCGACCCGTCACACGGTGAGGGAGATGAAGCTGTTGTATCTCTGGATGTTCCTCTTCAGGATCTCCGAGCACGGCCCCAGCACGCGCTCAAAGCGAGGCCGGTCCAGCTTCACGCACTTGAGGGGTCCGCGGGCGACGACGGTGGCCGCCCGGGGACGGTTCAGCAGCAGCGCGATTTCACCTGGAGGAGGAAGAGGAGGAGGAGGAGGAAGAAGAGGAGGAGGAGGAGGAAGGGAGCGCAATGGGATGACAACACGTGAGGCCCTGTTCTCGTTCCAAGAGATTTGACTCAAATGTTGATTTCTGATCATCAAGAATAAACAGAAATGTCACATTGTAGTGAAGGACTACATTTTGTTTAGAGCTATTATCAATTAGGTGATTAATCAGTCTCTTATTCTGAATTCTCTGATGCTGGTAATTGCATTTTTTGTACCTTTATGATCTTTGGGTTTGCCTCTTTGAGCACTTTTAACTATTTCTGCCGTGTCGCTTGATCAAGTGAGATGATTTGTAGATAACTTTTATTCACTGGGCTGCATGAATAATTTAAACTATAGTTAAATATACAACATCCCTTTCTTCCGGTATGTTTTTGTGAAATTGCTCAGCCATGAAGCTAATGTCGACATGCCAAGAAAGAATGACCTATTTATGTGTTTCTACTTCCACAAACAACATCACATGTTCGGTATACTATGAGCCTTCGTTTTGGCTTTTTGTACGTGGTGCAAAGTCGGGAAAGTAAAAATCACGAGAGCACTCACCAAAGTAGTCGGAGGGTCCGAGGCGTCCCACCTCCACGTACTCCTCGTTGTCAGACCGGCGCTGCAGAACAGAGGCGATACCCTGGACACAGAAAAGGAAAAAAAAAGAAGATTTATAATAAAGGACGGCACAAGAAGGAGAGGAATAAAAGGAGGAGGGCAAGATGGAGGGGGGGGGGGTAAGAGCCCGAAATCATCAGGAGGATTAAGCTGAAGAGAAATTCCTTTGCTTCATAGGAACACAGGTGCACAGGATTTAGCTGCTCCTCTGTGGGACGGACACCTGTTGTGTGGGACGCGTACGAGCAGAGAGACAGAACAACACACACTCATGTGTTCCAGCAGGGTGTGTGATACAAAAACCGATTGGTTCTGCTTTACTTCCTCCAGAGTGTAATAAATACAAACATCTAAGCCCTTTAGAGGCTGAACCAATGCCTCACTGTCTCCATCCCATAATCCCCTTTATCAGCATTCACTCATTAAATGGAAACAACTGTATTGTCCAAGAGTGAGAGTGCTCCAGTGTAGGATCCCTGAATGACCCTGGAAACCCAACACACTTGACTGTGTGTGCTCCGACAGCTAATTGAGGCAAACACAGATCATCAACACTGACTGGCAACACAGGACAGATGTAAAAAAAAAAAAAAAAAAGAAGCAAAATCTGCATTAAGGAAATGCACGTCCAAATCCCCATGCACAGTGAGAAAGTAGAACAGCTGATATCTGCGCAGAGTGACTGGACTCTGGACCAACCATCGTCCACTGGTCGCCGTCTACGTGACTCATCCGACGAGCATAAGGGAGGACGTGTTGTTTCCATTCACTCTGCCCAACAGGTGACAACAGTTCAACAGTTTGTCATATCTTGCAGCTGCTGGCAAACTTTTGTGGGTGTGAACATTTGAATCTTTCCACAAGTGTTCAAAGTTGTCTTGATGCCATGTACGCTCACATTATCACGTAAACGCCAAGTCTGACACGTACCAGCACAGACCCAATGTGTGTTTTCAGTGCCGATGTCTAGACATTTACTGTAAGTGGGAGCAGGTAAAAAAATCCACGACGGGAACTTCCCAGCTTCTCTTGGACCGTGTCGTATAACAGACCTGACCGCTCCAGCACTCTAATCCGTCTCTCTCCGCCCCGCGCTGACCAGGCTAATAATGCCAAATATGAATATAATGAGTCGTAATGAGAACCCCAAAACTGCCAGCTGCTCACTGAACGCCTACAAAGGTGTGACTGTGTTTCGTTGAGAGGATGTGCGTGACTTAGAAATGAGCTGTGGAGAAGAGCGAGACACTGAAAACTAAGCAAACACACAGCAACACGACGCAGCGCGGTGGCTTCAGCTTTACGTTACAGCAGTGACACTGTAGGCGACCCAAAGGTGAAGCCATTCATTGGTTGGTAGTTGTGTCTCCACAAAAAAAGCTGCATCTCGCTCTGCAAATGAACAATAACAATTTTTAAAAAAGCTAGAGCCAGATGGTGTTGACAAAAAAAACATGGTGCTGATGTAAAATTAATTCACCAACTCATTTAATTTCTAAATGTAATTTAGGCTTGCTTCCTTGTTATTTACAGGTTTTTATTTGTAGTAGTTCCAGTCTGCGGTCCCAGGATCTATTGTTACCGTCTGTTCCCAAAGTTCGAGCGGCGGAACGGGGAAAGAAAGCTTTTAAGTTCCCTCTACCTGGAACACTTTGCAAAAACGACCTGAAACTTCAAGAGCTGGTCTCTTTAAACACTTTTAACGACTCGGAGGCAGAAACATCAGTCTGTAGATGTTCTGACAGATGATTATTTTTGCTAGTTACGTTTCTGATCTCTGCTGATTTCTTATCTTCTAAATGTAATTCCAACATGTACTATGAGTACGATGTCTGTGTGGATGCTGTTGTGACCTCGTCTGTCTGTCGTTTGTGCCGCTGCCTGTCTCGGCCAGGACACTCTTTAAAATCAGATGTTTAACCTCAATGAGCCTTTTCCTGGTTAAATAAAAAACAAAATAAAAATCCAGCTTTTATTTGAGATTTTATAAAAAGATTAAGAAGTTCCAGGACAGCGCCAATAAAAGCAAAAACCTGTACAATTTGTCCACTGGTCCCTTGAAAGTAGTCTCCTCTTGAAGTGATGTGCTGCTTCTGCCATTTTTAGACAAGTGTCTCCACTCTTACAGCCTCCAGGTGTGTATTTGTGATTTCATCACGGCGAACTGACCCAACCTTCATGCCAAGGACCAGCGTTGGTAACAAGAGTTGGATCTACACACAGACACCGTCTCTTGCATCCGATGATCGGCGCATGCTCAGAGTCTAGTTTGACATTCAGAAGGTGAATCAATCCTCCAGAGTTTCGCTGCGGTGAGGTGTCAGAGTGAGAACAAACTGAGCGGTGGTGTCGAGCCACACCAACAAAATCCATCCAGCTCGCCACATTTAAATCCCTGGAACACCTTCTCCCTTCAATGAAATCCAAGGTAAAGGGTCCCACTGGGACTCAGGGGAGGAGATCAGCAGACGAGTCTTCCAGGACCGCACATCCAAAGAGCTTTACAGACTTGACAGAAGCTCTGGAAGCGGTGGATCGCTGCACAAGACGACTCGTTCAAGGGGGCCAGATTTAAATTGTGTATGGAATTTGCTTTGTATTGGGAAAGTCCTGGAGCTCCTTGAAGTCCTGGAGCTCCTTGAATGATGGTCAACTTGTAGCTGTGGGGTTCTTTCAAAACATGGTTTGGTAGCCGATACCTTGCTTTTACAAATGCACAGTATTTTAACTAATGAAGCTCACTAACTAGTTATCACTCATCCTTCTTCTGTCAGCATTCTTTCTGCTGTTTAAAAACTCAGCAGTCGGGTGTTGACCATGAAACTGCAAAGTACTGAAAGTGGCGAGTATTTCCTCCACAGAGCAGTTTCTTATGAGAGTCATCCGACTGCCCGACTAACCAGCATGATTTAAGACGTCTGCAGGCCTTTTCCGGCGGTGGCCAGTTTGAAATTAAGGCTTTGTCCTGACTGCAGAACGAGATTCACTCCTAACTTTGGAAAACCCGACACATGTGTGCGCACACCACACATAAAAACACACAGATATGTGCCAAGACAAAAATATATTACACCAAAAATAAATCCCCCAACACTTTTCTACAGTTAGAATATTCCTTTTTTTTGCTGCTTTGGGCTTTTGCTTTCCGTTGGATTGCACTGTATTGTTTTGGACCTTCTACCAAATTACAAGCCACAGACGGTGAAAAACACAACTCAAATCCTGCTCTCAGGAAATATGTCGCTAGAGACAAATTTCTATCCAGCAGATAACGTTTGCAGTGATGTATTTTCTTTCTTTAGTGCACTTACAGGCGAACTTTTAATAGATATATACAAGCACTATTTGCACAGCATTAGACGAGCTACGTGATGAGTGTTATTGGAAAGTGTGCGTGTTTACTTGCGTGTCTGTGTATCGGCGGGTTGTAGCATGTTTTGCAATAGACAATAAGTTGGGTTAGATTACTGTATGACACCTGGACCTCCTGGTTTAAGAGGTGCCAGCATCTGAACCGATCATCCAGGACAGTTATCTGAAATGTCTTGAAAGCTCGGCGTAAACAACTATCTGCTGCTTAACTCCGTACGATCGTGTAGCAGCAGCAGCAGCGGCTGGTGTTTCACAGTTTGCTTTTGCGGTTGATTAAGATGCTGCTCCACTGACCGAGCTGGCCCGCTAAACTCTGTGACATTCAAAGCACGATTTGCACACGAATAAAGAAGAAGAGACTGCAGCAGGTACAGCCTACATCCGCCTGAGGAAGACGTCAAGATCACTTCTAAAGCTCCACTTTTATAAAAATTCTTAAGTGCGACTCTGCTTGCATTCGTGTCAAAATTCTTTATGCTCCCAACTGTATTGGTTTGAATTTTACCTCTAATCTCTCTCGTAATACATTTTGCATTTCTTTTGCTGTTTATTCATTAGAGTTTTTATTTATTGATTACCGAGCACTTTGCAACCGTGCTTGGTAAAGCCCTACATAAGTAATATTAAAGTTCCTTAGCTTGAGCTGCATTTAAAACAAACATAAGCTAAGTTTGTTGCTTGTCGTACCCAAACGTTCTCTTCCATCATTTCACTCTCTGGTTCATATAAAAAAAGCATTCCACTCATCTTAATCTCACAGCAGTTTTCTTTTTCATCTGAACGTGGCGCAAATTTTAAACAAACTGTTTAAAAGTGAGTTCCTGTATGTTTCCATCCTCGACTGCAGATAATCGGAGAAAGAGTATAAACAGCTGGAGGTGATAAAAATCCACTTAACACATGTCTGATATTTTCATCTAACGATATATCATGATTAGGTGGTGATTCATTCACTGAGGCCCTTTTTTCTTGACTTGTACGTTATTGCAGCATTGGAACGCTTAAATACTGGCAATGACATTTAAAAAAACCCTGAGAGATGTGAATGGAGAGAGGAGGAGGCATCACTGTTTACAACCAGTTGATTCCTCTCTGTTCCATTCATGTCCAAACAAAGACAGTGAGACAGTGCAGCGCTGCGAGTACAGTAGTTCCTCCGGTGTGGTCCAGATAACCATCTCGTACTGTACCACCCCAGGGCTAGCACTCCGCTCCACAGATATTTCTTTTATAAACATCAGAGAGCCTCCTCTGCCCAACACAGCGTACGCAGGACTGGTAACAACAAAAGAGGAGTTCAGGAAGCCAAAGAATAAAACAAACAGAGAATATGAATGAATGAATGAATGCAAACACGTAGTAAAGCAACAGGAGGAGTGTGAGCATTGCTGGCAGATACTTTCACACCCATTTCTCAAGCACATAAACCACACACAGAGCGTAGCGAGCTCAGAGCGACATGTCAAAGTGCAGCATCCTGCACGTAGGAAATGACAACCATTGGAACGACGTGCTCAGAGACAGAGGCAGCGATGGAAGACATCCTGAGAAGCCTGCTCACCCGGCACCAGCAGCGTTTCTCACAGGACAACGCCACTCAAAATATAGTTAACCGTCACTAAATTAATCTTCACCGTCTTTCTTGCAACTGTATATTGTCACTCAGCTTTAATCAATTCATTACCTGCATCGACCTCCAGTCCATGAAAGCAGCGTTAAGCTCCATTAGCTTAATTGCATTTTGGCAAACACACGCAGGTTACAAACACCACAAGACACGGAGCAGAGAATCCACCGAGTGGTTCCTGTTGTCGCTGACCCACAGGGACCCTCGAGACCCCCTCAGTGGGATTACTTCTGCGTGAGGTCAAAGGACTAATGAGAGATAACACATGAGTTGCCGTTCAGATCGATTACTGGAGGAGATGAGAGTGGATGCATTAGCAGAGAGGATGCCATGACGATCTGTATTCATCACCTGGCTTCCAGGCAGCAACCTGAGAGAAACATAACTTGAATTTTTAGGGTGAAGTCATTCAATCATCCAGCTTGACTTGACTTTGCAGCCTGGACAACAGTTAGCACCTGAATGAACCATATCTGTAGGTAGCTACTGTAGTGCTGGGAACATGCACAACATCCCTCCTCCGAACTTATTTGCTTATTTTATATTTTTCACTAATGGACATTACAGAAATCGGTTTTTATTTTGACGTGAAAGATTCTTTTCTTTTTTTGAAATTCGTGTTATTTTGACCTTGATTCAATGTTCAAAAGAAACAAACTTCGGAGGGGAACAAACACTTTTTATAGATACTGACATGCAGAAACAGTTTTCTAGACTGCTATCATCCTCCTCGTGTCTCCAGATTAATCTCTTTAGCAAAAACTTCTAATTTAGGTTCAATGTATTGGAGCATTTGCAAGGAGCTTTGTCATATATGTGTCATTTATTTGGAGGGGGTAAGGCCACATCTTAATTGTTATTTTGGTAAATGCACTATTCTATCACATTGGCTGTGCTCTTAGATGCATCACAGGAAAAAAGGTATACGATAAGATAAGCCTCGATTAATCCCAAAGTGGGGAAATTTGCAAGGTTACATCAGCAAACATTTAGGAAATGTAGCACAAAAATAAAAATAAACCAAGATATACACAAGTACCAAGTACAGTATAATACATGTACCTTTATATGAACTGTCATGACTTGACGTGAACTTGTCAGGGACACTTAACTCGCTAGACACCACAAGTTTCCGAACTCATCTGATGCTCCACAGCTTTTTTAATACCACCCTGGCCTCTTATTAATTTCAAGGCACAGATGACACGGCTTCAATTCATAACAAGGAGGAATAAAGAGAGTCGGGTGAGTCGAGGCATAAGAGGGGAGAGCAGGGAGGAGAGAGCGGGGAAGGTGAGGCCGAGTCTTCCTGTAAAGGCTTGTTTGTACAGTGTGAGAAAAAAATGTAAACATGTCACTTTTCATTAGGGCCCCATTCCTCCCAGCGGGCAAAGAAAGTGACATCTCCGTACCTCCCTTTTGTTAATCTCCCCCCATCAGCGGCATGTAATTAGTGATTGCGGGGTTTGTCTTTGGCGGACGCACCAGAACCGCAGAAACAACAGAAGAAAGTCAGACGGGATGCAGAATGACAGGAAAGGCAGCGATCGACTCCACAAAACATACAGTATTAATCACAGAGCACACAAGATAAATGGAAACAAAAAGGAATCGCATCCAGACAGGATGGTAAGAGTGCCGGAGGCTGATGATTTTACTGTACGACACACTCACACCCACAAAATCCTGCTCTCCCTCTTTACTTGTGGTCCTTTTCGAATCAACCTCCTCTCCAATCATACGTCCCTGCCCTCTTTGACTCATCCTTCTCTCTCCCGTCTCCCTCCTGGGAGGCTGGGTCTCCTGACCCCGTGTGAAAGTCAGCAACACACATTCCACCACAGTCCACCCTGCTCTGGGAAAGTCGGGCTCTGCTGCGTTGGATGGGGAGAGAAAAGGCAGCGAGGGAGGCACGAACGGAGGGAAAAGGGAAAATAGACAGGAGACTGGGAAAGGGGGTTAAAGACAAACTTGCTGTTGGATGGTGTTATTAAAGAGGGAGCAGCTGTTGTGTAAAAAAAAAAAAAAAAAGAGGGTCCCCATGGTTTAGAAAAAGAAAATTTTGTTCAAGGAAAATGTAGGAAAAATGAAAATGTGATCAATGCGGATGCACCAAGTCAATGTTGAGACTCTCAGTGTGAAACCTCCGACAGGAATGTGCTGGCTGCTGATACAACTGGATCCCCGTCTCCCTCCTCTTCCCTCTTCCATCTCTCCATCCTGTAATCCCCCAGATTCCTCTGCATATTTTGCCATGTTTTGTCTCCTCTCTGGGGTGGACCAAGTCTCAGACTGATGAGTCATGCATTGCTAACTACAATATTTGTGTCCTTTTTCCATTTTCTGCACAGTCAAACTGGCTCTTAAGGGATTTCTGCAGCTTTAATTGGAGGCTTCAAACTTGACCAACACCAGTGAGCTAACATGAGGTATATGTGAGATATATACAGCGCAGTCTATAAATATTTGGATGGGGACACAGGGTTGTTTTTATTTGGCTTCAGTGTATTATGTTTGAAATGAAACAATCACTTAAACAGGAAATAAAAACTTTCTTTATCTGTAATTCTCAGTGGAAAGTGCTTCTGAAACTGGTTTAATTTGACTCTAAATACTCACAGTGATGATGATGATGATGATGATGCCACCGTCCTGCTTCCGTTTGGCTCCCGGGTGCTAATTTTAGCCAAGTTTTAGGATTAATTGCTGCACTGTATTCTGTAAAAGCTACTCTTTTTTTAGGGAGCCTGAAGAGTCTTCACATCAGATTTGTGAAGTTCACTCATATCATACAGGCTTCCTGCCGACACATCTTTGCCGGTGCTGCCGTGTTCATTTCTGCTTCCTTTCTATTCAGTTTGACTTTCAGCAAGTGAAACAAACACGAAGGCAGATTAAAACAGCCATGCACGCTACACTGCTAACCCAACAGATCCTCGATCTGTTAGAGCTGACAACTTTATGATAACAACTTAAATTCAGGGCGCTGGATTAGAGCCGAAGTAACAGAAAATGTGCCGCTAACCAATACTAAGGTGAGCATAGCTACGAGAAGAGATGGAAGAACGAATGGACAAAAAGTGTTTTGGCTCACAGGTGAAGAACGAGAATGAGAGCGAGCCAAAATAGGGATAAGGACTGACGCATCACTCAGCAGCTTTGATCAAATCCACCTCTGGTTTAGCTTCTCCCACAGTGCAACCGGTGAACTGATGAACACAGAATGAACCGGACAGGAGCGACAACGTGGGACAGACAGACGAACCTACAAGTAAATCCATAAACAGGAGAGGAGAAAGTTGTGCCCCCACCCCCTCTAGACGGAGCCCTCTTGACTTGACCCTGGTGAAAGCCGTGTAAGTATGGAGTTAATCAAAAGTGTGTTAGGATGACAGGCAGGGGGCCCTTCATGAAGCCATGCCAGGGGCCCACGCTGCACAAAGCCTGCAGTGTGAGGGGGGCTGTTCTCTGCACAGGAATCGCTGTTGAGGGCTCAAACAGGGGGAGCACCGCCGGGCAGTCTGTCTGCTGGTGGCAATAAACTGAGATCAGTTCCGATGTCAGCGAGGAGCCCACCAACGTCTCCGCATGATGACATGTACATCAAGCTGACCACCTGACGACACACTGTCAGGCCCCATACGCCAACACGCTCAGCTTACAGGAAATGTGACAGCAAAAGGAAGCTACTACGCATACTGTACTTCCAGTGTCTCCTGCATAACACAAATTTACGCACACACCAACAATCGTACTTCCATCACCTCTGGGGGAGTGGCACCAGGTGGACGGGGTGTAATCTCAGCGTTTTAAACATCGACCCCATTGCACCATCTGAAATCGCAAACTTAAATTTACCACTGCCAACAGATAGATTAAAATAAACAACTGCTGAGCTGAAGAAAGCTAATTATTCAAATTGTGAAACAACAGAAACGATAGAATTTTACAGGATACAAAGCAACGCCATGACCAATAAGAAAACCAAACGTCAGGCAGAGCGGCAGTCAGTGAGGGTAAAGGCGGATTGCACAGGAAACACCTTCAGGCAGCCAGGGGAGACTGCAGACTGAAGAAGTCCCTAACAGATGGAGGACTCACCGTGCAGCACTATAATCACGGATATGTTTGGAGACGGCTTGCCAGCTTTCAACATATGCACTCTGACTAGGAGGAAGATGTTGTCCCAGACGTTAACACATCCAGCCGGTGCAACTGGAAGACATCAGACAGACGTACCTCCGTAATGATGAAGAAGTCATCCCCAGGTTCCCCCTGCACCACGATCTTCTCTCCATCCTCAAACTGAACGGGCTCCAGAGCATCAGCCACCGTCAGACGCTCCCATTTATCCAAAGACTCTGTGGATGGAGAACAAATAAGAACAGTGTGGTACTTTCATGTTTCATGGTCTCAGAGGTCGTCTCTTGCTTGTCAACACGCTGGTGGGAATAACAATTCCTGTCTCAGGTCTAATGCAGTCATTCACCAGGAACCACTGCATCTCAGATGCCTTGACACTCACGCAGCTACAGCAACGTAAAATTCATCCCTAAATGTCAGTGCTGCTGACGCTGGATTGCGATGACAGATATTTGTCCTCTTTGATGCTCGCTCAGGCCTCAGGTCATCCCAGGAAACCAAAACATGAAAAAGCTTTACACCTCAGAGTAACAACAATTTTTTACTCAAGACAAATTTCCACAGATAAGATAATCTGGTGCCTGCTAAGGTGAATAATTTCTGGTTTAAACTTCCAAATGCACTGATCAGAATTTGTGAATAAGTTCTGCTGAAACACGGGACAGTCTTTTTTTGACTTTTTGTTGATCTTCGGAGCCAGTCAGATAGTCTTTCCGACTACCCAGCCACAGGAACAGTGGCGTGGTTAGCCTGAGATATTTCTAGAAGCTGTTGGTATTCTCAGCGAAACCAAAAACACAGACGGTCACAGATCTCACTGGGAAAACTGTTGAAACCAAAGGAGTTTCAAGCAACTCAGATGGATTGATATTTAAAGACAGAGGACCCACTGATAACGACATATCTCTACGCAGATGATGCGCTACATGAGCTCATCCTTTTTTCATGCTCACATAGATCATTGTTGCCTAATCTCACCAGCCTATATCTTCCCGTGTGTGTGATATGACTTATCTGCAGTGAAAACACTCCTCGTCTTTAGCTGTGTCTAGATGAAGAGCTGATTCACTGCTGTGCATTGACTAAGACATGAGTTAGAGGCAGAATCTTTTTTTTTACGAAACCATTGTCTCCCGATGTGCTCGGTAACCGATCCCAGTGTGTCTATTTGTGTGTGTGCATAAATGTGTATGTACTTAGGATTAACTAAGGTAGGTCTGGTGATTTGGAGGTGTCCAGTATCCCCTCCGGTGGGGCCGTGGTGTCTGCCGTACACAGATGGATGTCTTCAGTCTGGCTGCAGGTCCTATAGAGGTGATCCTTAACAGCTCGGCAGGTAACGTGATACACAAATGTGCTGACTGAAGAACCTACATTTCACGCTTCGCAGAGCCTGCAGCCACTTGGATCACCTTGTTACACACATACACGGTAAACACACAGGCCACTGAGATGCTGAAGCCTGTGTGTGTGTGTGTGTGTGTGTGTGTGCGTGAGACAAACATTTGTTTTTCTCCCTTCACTCCATGACATCAAGGGCTTGTACCCAATTTCGTGGCTATCTCAAAAATCAAAGACAAACAAAAACACCACCGCCTCCTGCCCCTCCTCCAATTCAAAGAGGCAGAGCACAGAAGCAAAGTGACAGAAAGAGGAATGAAGGGAGGAAAAGCACTCCGAAGAGGGAGGCGGGTGTTTGAATACAGGCCTCGACAAGGCTGTCAAAAAGGGAGCCGCTGAAGAAAGGAGGTGAATGAAAGGAGAGCGGAGCTCACAGAGACGTTCTCCTAAGACCTAAATCAAGTGTATGTGTTTACTCAGCCAGCTAATAACTATGTACAGGGGGCATGGCCTTACTCTGTACACCACACACACACGATCAAGTGGAAAGGGATGAGATGTCAGTTCCAATTGTAACTCATTCTGAAAGTCTGATTGAATCTCATTCGCCATCCCTCCAAAGCCAATGGTCTGTGCAGGCTGGCGTTATCCAAATTCCAGTGGGAAAGAGAGGCTTAGCTTAACTCCTTATTCTTTAATTGTCCACACAGAGACATGCAGAGTGTGACTGGCTTTAGTATGAACAGTGTGAGAAGATTAGGACTGTACACACAGGCCTTTCTCAGCTATGGTTCTAGTGCGACAACGTGCGCTTGTGTTTATGCGGGTTAATCTACGATATACGTCGATTTAACTGCCTGCACTCTGGACTCTTTGACCTGTTGAAAATGAATGCATAACATGGCTTACACGTGCAAACAGTCTCAGGCTTCAGCATGTTCATAAATGCAGAAACAAAGAGTAAAACAAAGCAATGCAACAGGCAATCACCTACATCAGCAACATACCGTATGCTACACTTGGCTGCACATACAGACACTTACCAAGGATGGAGACCTTGCTCAGGAACTCCTCGTACATCTTTCTCTTCCTCAGTGTGCTACCCTGTAAAACAAAGATAGGAAACACGCTTACATATTTCATGTGGTAACACTGCACATCTACGCTGCTAGAATAATCAGGATTATTCCACAAAACACTGTGATCATTGTTATTATCGAGAATGTCTTGGTTTCAAGAAGCAGACCTGCTTTATTGAGCGATACGGGTAGAAGTTGTCTAACTTCTATAATTAAAGTGCTTCTCAAAGAAGCAGCAACCAACAAGTTTCTCTCATACAGTCATTTAGTCTAAAGAGATTTCAATAATGACTACTTTGGCGTGCAGATTTTGGAAAGAGCAAATCTGCACTTGTTTGTTGTCACAGAGATCCAATTAAGAAAATCTCAAAAGCACAATGATCCATTTTTTTGCAACTGAAACATTTTTTGTAATTCATAGTCCAAAACTGTTGCTCGCTAACAGTGCATTTATTACACTTACACTTTTCTTGCATGTCAATTTATTGGCTACAGCTGAGTCTAACTTTGGGCACTGTGATGCTGTAAAGTGAAACTACGCCACAAGATGATCTGTGATTAATAGATCATCGTTCGTGGGGTCGTGCCTTTCGGAGGTGTGCATGGGATGTGCGGTGATGTTTATGGCATGTACATGTCTGTGTGTGTGGCCCACCCCACCCACCAGGCAGGGGACTTTCCCCTCTCTGCCTCTGCCATGAAAATCAGGTGCTTCCTGACAAGTCTAGACCCAGAGGACCCCTTCGCGAACTGCATTTCTCCTCCGCTGCACAGAACCACTCAGAGGGAGCACAAAGAGAGAAAAAGAGAGTGAGGAGAGATGATCTTGTCCGCCCTGTGTCTGCCTTTGCATATGGAAATGATATATTGAAGCTTGGGGTGTCTTTAGTGCATAAGTGCCCGAGTCTCGCTGCTGCCTCTAATTTCATATAATTTCACATTTTGTCTTAAAAGGGGAGAAAACGTTCCCAAGTGATTCAACGTCAAGCTCAAAATCGTAAACAACTTGATTAAAGGAATTCTAGCCCGCATTGCCTCCCTCCTGGATAAATGATTCGAGCGTGTGTGTGTGTGTGTGTGTGTGTGTGCGTATGTGTGTGTGTATGTGTGTGTGTGCGTATGTGTGTGTGCAGGCAGAGCATGAAGTCTGTTTTTAGTTCTGCCACTTATGTTTCACTGCTGTCTCTGCAGAGACAAAACTTGCTCGTTAAGCAAGCAAATACAAACACTCACACATGTATACTCTAACACACACACACACACTCCACTTTCCTAAAAGATGTTGTGTTGGTCTCCTGATTTAATAGCTTCCCCATAGAGCTCCTTGGCCGGCCTCGCTCAGCTTAAAGGCTTACCATGCGTACATAACACTACATTATACAGTAGGACTGATTTATGTGACTGCAGTAGGTGGGCCAGCGTATTGTGAGCAACCAAAGGGCTCACTGGGGCAGAGAGGGATGAAAGCGATACTTTTCTGAATTTCTGATTCAAAAAAATTCAAATTATCACTTATTTTGTTGGCGAACATCTTTCTTCTCTTTGCATTCTGTTTTATCTCGTTGCTGTCGACTTGGGAGGGCCTGAGCACATGATTCATGCATAAAACTGTCCCGTTGGCCCTAATGTGTTCGCTCCTCCCGTGGTTAAAGATGAACCAGCCTCTGTGTCTGTTGCCGTCTTTGAGGTAGAATCATCAAAGAGCTGAGGTGTGGAGCGAAGCCAGACTAAACCCACTGTACCTCACGCCTCATCTACATCACCTTTATCTCCGTCCAACATGACACATGCACACCCTCCCTGCATCCCTCCTCATCTCTCGGTATAATTTCTCCTTGCTTCCTTTGGTCTCGCGTCCTGTTTGTTGACAGTGGTCCATCAGTTTGTAAATGGCTTTGTCTGTAGCTGTGCTGTTTAAATACCAAGATGACACAACAAGGTGGGTATTGTATGACTGGCGACAACACAATGAAGAGAGTGTGTTTATCACACAGAATGGCATTACACTGTTTACTCAGCGTACTTGTGGATAAGGAGGGTGGTGGATGTGGTGGAGTGTGAAGGGGCGCCTCGGCTTTCCCCGATAAGATCACTGACATGATCCACATTGTACATAAAGTGTGTCATCAGCACACTCATTGGCTGAAATTGGTTCAAGACCCATTTTGATAATTCTGATAATGCAATGTGTGTGTGTGTGTGTGTGTGTGTGTAATTCTTTGTCATTGTGTGTGGAGTACAGCGAAGGGAGAATAATCTAATCAAAACTCTGCCGGGGCTCATGAAATCCTGTGGATGCTCTTGAATGGATCTACTCACATAATCAAATAACCTGTTTATTGATTAACGGATTACTCAGTTGTCTAGAAAACTGGTTTCAAGAGCTCACATATCTTGCCAAGAGTCGTCAAAAGACATTCAATTTATTTAGAAAGAAGAGGAAACGGCTTAAACCAGAAACCATTTTGTGTGTTTAAATCACTGAAATTATTACAGTGTCACAAAATCAGAATTTTCTGGCAAGTCGAATCCATGAGTTTTATGTTACACTAAACTGCCACAATGATTTGTGAACTTCACCCAGATCAGCTGAAAGGATTTTACTTTTTTTTTGTATTAACACTCAATATGCATCAAAACCAACTTTTATGCGACAAGCAAAAGTTGATAAAGTTGCTCAAATATATCAGCTTCTTGAAACAGGAGTTAATTAGAGTCTGTAAATGTGAAACTATTTAAAACACACTTAATCATTTTACAGTTTGGCGACCCAGCGGAGCAGCAGTACAGGAGAGCAGATGGGAAAACAATGAAAATGATGGCAGCGGCAACACACACCTTCTGAGCTGCTGACTAACTAGCTGCAGACACAGGCGCTCAACATAATTCTTACTGGGAAACACACCACGCACACATATTTACACACACACACACACACAGAATGCTCATTGTGCTGGCCTAAGACGCTGCCAGAATACCACACTTTGTAAAAACAGCTTTACAAATCATTGACAGCAATAATTAACTACAGGTTCACATAATTGAATTCTGTTTCACCCCGTCTCCCCTCCTGCTGCTGCTGCTGCAGGAATGAAAGCTGCAGAGAGAGAATCCTCTCAAAGAAAGGTTACCAGGGCAAACTTTGCCCCCAGTTTAACTATGTGCTTAAGAGGTGACATGAGTGCTGGGCAGGCCAGTGCCAACTTTGCACTGAGCTGAAAGGTCCAAAAACAGAGCCTTCCCATCGCTGTTGGCTCTGTTTGAACGTAATTTTTACCGCTGGCGCTGGTGAAGGCTTTAGACGCACACAGGAGTCTGAAAGGTTAATTAGAGCCTATCTAATTTATTTGGATTAAGGTGTGAGGGACATCTGAGGAAGTATTTAGCCTGAAAAGGAGTCTCACACAATAATTAGTCATTCTAACAGCACGTAAAATGTGTGAGCGAGTATGACAGCTCGGGCAGAGCACCTTGTGTTTCCAGTTTAAACATTTAGACATTCCTGCTAGATAAGCTCCTGGAGCGGAAAGTGTGTGTACAGGCATTAGAATCGACCCTTTCTGTCCTCTACAGGCCTCCCTCACTGCACTCCTCTTTTACTTTTATGCTTTTTGTCATGTAGGAAGAAAGCTGGAGAGGCATTAAAATGGGAGGATAACCTCCTCTGTGTGTGTGTGTGTGTGTGAGTGTATTTGGAGTATAAAAATGAAAGCGACTGTTTGAAGTGTTTAAGGAGTCTTAAGTGGTTGAGTGGGAGAAAACATTGCAAGAGAAAGACCATGAGTGATGAGTGTAGAGTCGACTCCGGTTCATTTTTACTGTATTTCTGTATTGCATCACAGTGCGGCTGATACTGGTGTGTCTGCTCAAGGTTTAACGTCTTCCATTTTACCATGCAAAATGTAAGCGTTTTTTAAAAAATGGAGCATAGTTTCTGCTGAATAATGGGAAGAGTAAAGAGTTTGATCGTAACCAGACCGTTTCATCGTGAGGAGATAAGTAGCAGAGTGTGATGCAGAGGTCAGAAGAAAATATTGTAAGAAAATGTCATACTTTAAGTAACAACTTCTACAGACGTTTAACACTTGTGTTTACTAGTAAAAAAACAAAATAAAAAATGCAGTGACATATGCCTTTAGTTATACAACACAAAGGAATTAAATCCCACAAACACAGGTTGTTCCAACGTGGTGTTCCAGCTTTAGATAGAAAAAAGGAGACGGCTGCAGCTCTCATTCCCTGTAGGTGGCATGCGTTCTAAAATTGCAGCTACTTTCTTTGCCTGTTGGTGGCGACACTGAGCCCTGCCAATAATTTTCCCTCCTATTTGTGTCGAAGGAGGCAGATGTTAAGCCATAAGACGAAGAACGCATAATGCTTGTGTGGGTTACAGCATCCTGCACCCTGTAATCGTTTACACACATCCTTTACCTCTAAGACATCGAACAGCAACGAAATGTTACGTCCATCTGATTTAAATTGCTTAATAATGTGTTGTCTGATGAACTTCATGAAGCCAAAATGGGCTGGTCTCACTATAAAGTTGGTCTTAATGCTATTAGGCGTTGATGGAGATTTGGTCTTTTCCTCTTCCTCGTGGACCTTCAAAGTTGGTGCCTCGCTGTCCAACCAGGTAGCGACCGAATGATTATTGTTTGTCTGCTTGTTGTTACTACCGAGGGAACGCGAGTCGGTGTGTTGAAGTTCGTACCATGAGGATGCGCCGGTAGCTGTCTCGGTCGATGCCCCACAGTTTGAGATCAGTCTTGGCCTTGACGGTGGCAGCTCTGGGAGTCCCATAGATCAGGGCCAGCTCTCCAAAACTACCTCCTTCCCCGATGCTGGTCACCCACTCGCCATTCACATACACCTGCAGACAGAACAGAAAAACAGAGTGATGGAGAGGGTCTGTGTGAACAATATCAGCTTCTCCACCTGGTATGAGACACCTTCTCCAACCCTCGTCCTCCCTCCTCTTCTCCTCCTCCCCAGTTTCCGTGCTGTTTGATATGCTCACTAGGTTTGTCCCTAAGTATTTGATCTCCACTAAGCCCTCAGATGAGACCCTCTAAAAGGCCCTCTATCCCTCCTATCTCTCCATCAATCCCTTTGATTTCCTTTGTCTTGTCTTGTCTTTCCTGTGATTTGGGAGTGATGGAGGTCAGAAGGCTGTGGAGGACTTTGTTGGTCTATTCTCACATCTGAAACACACACACACTTACATGCACACACATGCACAGCTCTATTTAGGCCAGCCACTATAGCTCCACAGACAATACAACCTCAGTTAGGCTCATTGAGGCCGTCTCTGGGGCCGTTACGGTTTCACCTGTCGACACACTATCCGCTATCTTGTTGACTTAATAACACAGAGAGAAAAGAGAGAGAGAGAGGGAAGGAGGGAGAAAGGGTTTATCCCTCCGGTGGCTCAATTGCCAGAATTGTTGCGAGCCATTATTCTGGTTCAGAGTAGAACACAGTGGACTCATCCTTCACCATAAACTGGAGGAGCGTCAAAGAGACGCAGAGTGCTGGCTACGGCTAGCCAAGAAAGAAGAGCAATTATATGAAAGCTGTAAAGGTGTTACATCAGAGCATACAGGTAGTAGTATATTTTTACAGATTCCCAGTCCAGTCCACAGGTATCTCCTGACCTGCAGGTCTTTGTTCAGTCTTCCCTGCTGTTCATGTGATCCCAAATCACTTTCATGCATTTCAAGTGAACCTGAGCAAGAGCAAAGCCTGCAGAAAAGGTGCCCCCTCAGGCCTGACAACTATTATCCTATACGGAAAAAAAACCAACGACACATGATGCCTTGCAGCTGTCCCAGGGATTTCAATATGTAAACATCGACATAAACTGCGCGTGCCTGGTGTTAATTAAGAAGCAACAAATGCATAGTGCTGGAAAGTGGATGAGCAGGCAGCGTATTTGTGTTTGTGGTTACTCAGAGTTTGTTTCTCTGGCTTTCTCTGTGGTCTGTCTGTGAGACGGAGGGCCTGTCTCTCTCTGTTGCCTATTTGGCAGAGATCTTAAGACTTTTGCTCACAAATTCCTAGATATCTGTGATTTCAAGACTTTCAAAATTTTATTACAAACAGCATTTTTTTTTTTTTTTTAGTCCAACAAGATCAATGAAATGGAAGCTTTAATTTCTTCCATGAGCACCTATTTAAATACAGGCTAATGTGTGAGTGAGTAAATGTGAGTGCAGACTTGGAGGGGTGTTTACATTAGTGGCAGAAGTTGTCAGCTTTCACGCAGTTTATGAGATGCTGGCAGATTTACACCCCTATCTAATGAGAGACACCTCCACACTTTAATAACCCCGGCACTGATCTTGAAGTAGTTTAGTGCTTGGGCTGCGGCCGGGAGGCAGCAGCTGTCTGCAGAGGCTGAGGGGTGGTTGGCGGGGTGAGGCGAAGGAGACACAGATGAGCATGGTGTTCGGGTAGGGGTGAGCTGGAGGATAGGAGTCTTCCCACAATTTGTGTGCATGATGACAGGGTTCTGGCTGTGGGAGCAGATTCACTGGTGAACATACCATCTCCAGTTTAACACGCTGGAGGAACAATAAAGACAGAAAGCGACGCTGCGGCTGCAGGGCTTAGCAAGAGCAGCGTTATGGAAATCTTAAGAAAGAAAATATAAATTATCAGTCTGGGACATGCTGCGACTGCAAGCAACAGAAACTACTCTGGTCTGAGCAAAGGGTACGCAGCTTAGAGAGCATTTCAATGACCAGCTGGCAAAAGAACAAGCTGCGTCTTACCAACACGACCAAGTAATTTCAACACACTAACTGACAAAAACTCAGACTGTAAGATTGGCAGTGAAAACAAAAACATCTTTTCAACTCAGAAGTCACTGTCGTGAGTCTAAGATGATCCTGCACTGAATATCAGATGTTTCACAAAACTATGTCATATCTAATAACTTGTTTAACTATACACTAAATTGTATAATTCATCCCACATCCACCCCACCGGTCGAGGCAGATGGCCGTCCCTCCCTGAGCCTGGTTCTGTCGGAGATGTTTTTGGTTCCTTCCCACTGTTGCAGACTGCTTGCGGACTGCTGAAGCTTATAGGGAATCCAAATGTTTTGGATTGTTGGGTGTTTCTGCCTTTGTTAAGCGCTATGAGATGACTTGTTGTTGTAAATATGCGCTATACAAATAAAATTGAATTGAATTGAATAAAAGAGAGAGGAGAAGCAAAGACAAACTGGACTTATTGCCCTGCTGGCTGCTGGAAAAGCTGAAGTTTACATCCATGTCTGTCCAGACTTGACCTCTGGCTTCATCATTTTATCCTATAAAACATTGATTTGTGTCATCATTAGCACATGAATTCTTGAGTTACTGCCAAAAATCTTCAGTGACCTTTGACAGCAAAAAAGTTTATTCTTGAGTCAAAGTGGGTTTTTGTGCCAAATGTAATAAAATTCCTTTCAAGCGTTTTGATTTGTCATATATACAATCCTGGGACGGACACGAGGTCACAGAGGCCTCGGCTTCCGACCACCACAATCTAATAACTTAATCCTCGGATCTTTTTAAAAACTTCCCAAACTTAAAAACATAACGGGTGTAACTGGTGCTGAGACAAATCATTCAAACTTTATTCCAGTGAACAGGCAATGTTTCTTCAGGCCAAATCAATATTTGGCTTTACTGGGTGTTTGTCACGCTTGATGAAGTTAAAAAGTGTTTCGCAGCCATAACAGAGTTTGCAGATATTCTCACTTCTTCCTTTCCTGAATTCTCTATGAAGAAAACAGAATCTAGAAACAGGTCCAGTTTCTTATCCAGTCACATTTAATAAGGCACTAACAGAAACAACGCAGGTCAACACAGTTCGGCGTCGTTCTCTCAGTGCACCATCTCACTACTTCTATGCTTCCTTTTTCTGGTTAGGCGGGTCAACGCTATTGGCAGGCTCAGCCAAGCTCGCCAACTGGCTTCTCTCCTCTTACCCACCGTCTCAGCCCTCACTGCTGTAAGCTGATAAGGTCACTTCCTGTTTAACTTTCCATCAGCTCCTGTTTTATCTCTCCACTTAACTCTATCGCTCTGTGTTAGGCTCGCAAAGACAAAAGATGTTCTCAGTTCGGGTGCCTTCACAGTGCGTTCGTACTCTATAGTGCCATGTTCAGATTGTCATCGGAGTGGAACTGAACTTTGAAGAGAAGAAAACATGGGGGCAAACCTACAACCTGCCCATTGTTAGAGGGAAATACTCTCAACATGAGAGGAGAAGGCTGGGTTTTCCACTGACTCACCATCCTTCTTATAGACTAGCCCTAAAAAAACTAATACTGACATTCTGTGCACTAGACTACTTAATTTTAGGGATATGTGGCTAAGATGTGTTTCATTTATAGCTGGATAAATTCCTCTAAGAATAAAGGCTTTGTGTTTGTGTGTGCTTGTGTCTCCGTGGCAGCCACTTACGTCCACTTCACCTTGGTCAATCACATAGAAGTTGTCTCCCTCATCACCTGGAGAGAAGAGAGGAGGAGGAGAAGCACAGGAGTTTGTGAGAAGCAGAAAAAAACAACAAAATCGACTGGAAAGCTCACTTTTCCCAATTACCTTCACCAGCTGCATAAGTTCTTTAAGTTTTCTTTTAAATAAACAAAAGTTACATTCAGCGTTAATCACCCAAATGCACTGTTTATACCCTCAAGCTCCTATAAACCGGTTGCTCCTTAAAAACACTGTGTTGTTTACGTTCATGTTAACTAGAAAGTCTCGCCTCCACCTGCAGATCAGTGGAAGAGTGTGACAGCATTTACGGCGTAATTAAACAGAAACCGTTCAGTTTCTTGTCTTGCAGTTTGGGCCTTGAAGCTTCGGGGCACACCCAGCGTCTAAAGTGCCACTGCCTCCTCCAGAACGCATATTTCCAAGCGCCTGCCAATATCTTTATGAAATAGGGCTCCCACCAGCACAACGTTGCAGCAACAACTGGATTCATTACTGCGTGGCTTAATAGTGGAAACTCTGAAGCAGAAGTGCCTCAGCTCGCAGAACTACAACACCTCAGTATGCTGGAGAGAACAGAGAGATCCGTGATGCAGCATAGAAGCTACAGAAATCAACTTCATTTGTTCTGTTTTAAATATTGATGCGATGTATTTGCAAGACTCAGACCTCTGACTGTCGTCTAGTCTGCTCACTGGATCTCTATTGTGTCGCTGCTGGACTTCCGAAGTGAACTATAACCCTGGAGGCGAGTCGTGGGATCTTGTGGTTGATGTCTGTTAAAAGCATCTAGTCTGGAGATAAGGCTGAAAAATGGCAAGTGTTCCTTTAATTATGCTATCCATTACATAGGGCTCAGGGGAAATCATTAAAACGGACTGACAGCCACGTACATGAGCACCGCGGATCTCTCCCTGCAGCTACCTCTCTGATATAAATGCATCTCCATTCACAAGCACAAGTGGGTAATGATACATGAGTATAGGTGACACAAGTATGCGTTTCGTAGCTACCAAGCGAGGGTGTGTACGACAGCGTGTGCATACGTGCATTTTTGCTGTGTATGTTCACCTGAGGAGTTGAAAGGCTGAGAGCGGCCTGTGAGTAAAGTTCACCGGAGTTCACACGGCTAATTAATGCTGAGCGGAGAGGGCTCGTTAATCATAGAGCTCTATTTGTCACACAAAATGCTGCTTGTATGTCTGAAGGTGGAGACCCCAGAGACACACACACACACACACATATATATACGTACATAAACGCACAACCTGCTTCAACCTGGCCTCCTGCTATCGGCCTCTCTCTCTCTCTTTCATCTCATCTACCGCTCTGTCACTTCCCTCTCGCTGTGTCTTTCTTTTCTTCTACTCTTCCTGTCTTTTATCACTTCGGTACCCAGGTCCTTTGTTTTGCGCCCTTCCAGTCCTTCTGCGCCTCAGAGTGCTGGCAAATATTTGACCAGGACGTGCACACGCGTACTCGTGCACGCTGCAGTACCCTGTGTGGCCTTGTTTCAACACGAGCTAATTGTCACCGTTAAGGCTGCTCACAAGCAGAACACGGCTTGTTTTCTACCCACAATGCCGGAGCAGCATGATGGGCTGTTTCGTTTCATTTATTCATTTTATTCCTTATTACTCTTTAGTTATTTACTCATTTATACATTGTATTTATGTACTCTTCCTGTCATCTACTTTCTTTTATTTCACGTCTTCTTTAAATCGTTAAAGACTCCCGTTACACTAGCTCTGTGCAACATCATTACACGTGCAGTTTTCAGTTTCATGTGCAAGACTTCTAATCCGTGAGCAATATTGTCTCGTAAACCACTTTATTACTCTGGTTCAGGCAAATTTATGTCTCCTTTCCACAGTACTTTTTATTTGCATAGCACTTTCACACTTTTCTTTACATATAATATATTATTTTGAATTTGTTAGATTTCTATAATAATTGCCTGTCTCGTCGTTGTTGAGTACCACAGCTTCATTCACCGTGTCAAATTCCTCATCTGGCAATAAAATCTATTCTATATTTTTTCTTACTCCGATACGGCACTTTTGGTTCTTTTATTATTTTTATCTGGTGTTGTTGTATTGATTCATTTTATAAATCTTTAACTCTATTTCTCCACTGTTGCTTTCTGAGTATCCTTCTTTTATTTCTTGGCCTGTCTATAAAGCATTTTGTAAACTCTGTTTTTCTACATAAACATACCTATTATCATTATTAATATCACCCACCTCAATTAATTTGAATATTTTCCAATAACATAACCGTTTCCTGTTACCAAACATCCAGTGGCTTCTAACAGTAAACTTGGATCCGTGTCAGAAACAGCAGGTGAAATTAACAATGGGACACAATTAAAATACCTCCATGCTGCATTTTGCATGTAATGATAGAGTAAATCCCACCCTTTGTTTAAATACCACTCGAGCCTCGCAGTCGATAACTCCTAGCTGTGTCTAAATAGTGTGTGAGTAGCCGGTAGCAAGGTTGGCTTCTTGAAGCTGTACAGTAGTCCAGACGTTAGCCATGACATCAGCGCTGTATGTCGTGTATACCACACTCCATGGTGTATATAACAATGGACTGTCTGGAACCGGGGGCCCTGCAGAGCTAGCTAGACTTATTATCACCAAATTAGGACTGATATACTCCTGGATGCTGTCTTAAGAGTAGGTGGGAGACTCTGAAGTGTCCAAGCAGCGACAGATTTCCCTCTCCTACTGTGTGTTTGTAAGGCATGCTCTACCACTGTAAACTATGTGATTTTGTGCAGGTGTGAACATAGCATTATCTGAAAGCGGGAATTTGTCTGTGAGAATGTGTGTTTTCGGTCTTTTAAATATGTGATTAAATGCGTCTGTGTCTGTGTTTGATAGGAGATGGAGAAGGAGGAGGGGGGGGCTCTGGAAAAATACAGCCTGGCCCTGCTGGCCTGCGTTCCTTCAAAGTCCAGAGATGTCTGGAGTGAAGGTTTTGATGACTGCAGTTAGGCGGAGGAGAGGGACCTGACATCTGGTGCACGCTGAGGAAATGTGTGAGCAGCAAGAGGAGGATGGGAGGCAACAAAAGAAACATGATTATTGGTGGCAGTGCAGTAGATGTATGAAGGGAATCAGTGGCATCTTAATTGCTGCCTTTCCTTTTAATACACAGTGCTTAGCGAATTTATTAGACCACCACCCAGTGTAGGGTTTATGCCACAGCTGCTCTAAATTAAACAGCATTGGCAATGACCAAAATCATATTGTATGATTCTGTAATGGCTAATACATCATTTAGTGCTAAAATATAATTATTATTGTTATTAATGAATTTTCACTGTTATACAAAAACAAAAAAACAAAAAAAAATCTTGATTAAGATGTCAAATTATAGTTATTTACTTGCATTCCTGAACAGAAGAATTAGTTTCAGTGGTTGATTAAGTTGCTTGCTTGCTCTAATTTGGGTATAAAAAGATGAGTTCAGTTTAAAATTCCTCATTTCTGCTCAAAATGGTAAAGTGTGGAGAGCTGATTAAAACACTTCATGATGCTGCTCAACAAGGGAGACAGATGGTCTGATAAATTTGTTAAACACTGTAAATTTTCAACATCAGTCTTTAGTGTTTATTATTTAACCGTAAATTCACTTTTCTCACCTTGGACTTTATGTATTCATTGATTCTGTGGTTTTGAGGTTGTTGTCTGCTAAATCATTTGTTGCTCCTACATTGAAGCATCTAAACACGCGTGTAATTTCCTCTACAGGTCACACAGTATTTATACAAACCTTGCTGGATAACTGTTTCCCCTGCAATGTGGGTGACCGGGAACATGGCATCAAATATGTCACTGGAGGAGAGACAGACAGGAAACAGAACACAGGAAGGAGGAGAGAAGGAGGACACAGTTATTAGCCACATACTTGCTATTATGGTGCATTATCCCACCGTTTTTCTAAACTGTTTGCTTAATCTCATCCACAAACACACGGGACAAAGACTGCTGCGTGCCTCAGCAGCATTATGGAGAAGACTGCAACTATCATCACTGTGTCAACAGGCAGCGAAGGCCAAAGACACAGAAAACACAACTGATTTCTTCATTATCATCCACATCCAGCCAAACACCCACTATCCCGGGAGATCCATCACAAAGAGCGCGTCAGTAAGAATACGCACGGTTTAGTCCAACAAACCCACCACAGCCAGTTAGTTCATCATCAGGCTTCACAGTATTTATGTTGCTACCCTTTTCTGACACCGGCATCACTGCTCCTCTACTTCTACTGGGGTTCTGACTAAACCTTGTGTATATTTTGTTAAATACGAGTTCCAAACATGTGAAAAAAACATCTCCAGCTACTTATTCTGAACCCTTACATGCTACGGGTTCTGCGCATCGGCTTAAACACGATCAAAGCCTGCGTCTGTGTGCGCTGAGGAAACAAACTAAATGACGGCTGTGGCCGAGCAGCACATTTCTGTTTCCGCCCAGCAGGGAAAGCGCCTGGTGGACTGTTGCTAATCGGGCTGTTTAAATGCATGAAGCCTCAGAAGATTAGAGTTCCACTATTGGGATGTGTCGGGACAAGAAAAAGCTAAGTATCCTTCCTCTCCTGCTCTCTGCCCGTCTCACACCTTCGGGGTATATTTATCTATCTAATCAGCTGCATACCTCCCGTCTTATAGAGAAATATAGAAAAAACAATAAAAGAGGGTCACGCATATCAAAGACATACAAGACCTGCTGAGTGAATGTGGGGCAAGTCTGGGCCCATTCTCAGTTCTGCTTGTGTGTGTTACCGACTGTGTGTATTTGAGCCAGTCTGTCTGCATCTGAGTACATATTGCCTATGAAAACACACAGGTTTGTACAAAATAATGTGTGGGTGTCAAATAAGTGTGTGCTCCTGAACAGCCCACTAGACTGCGCAGCACTTAGAAATGAAAAGGCCAAACACAACTTGCAGCAAACTACAGACGTTGAAGTGCTGCCTTTTCATGAACCTCTCCAGTAAAAAGAAAAAAAAAAAAACTGTAGGTCAACAGATGTTAGCGAGAGATCTGAAGATGTTATTGAGTGGTTTGGAGGTGAACGGACCCTGCTGGTATTTGTTTATGTGACACTGAATAAAAAGCAGACTTAAGAAGGTGGATTTGGGCCAAGTACACCCACAGGTAGGCCCTGTGCAGTGCAGCTGGCCACTGACTCAGGCATCTGAAAAACACGCAGCACAGACACGCACACATGTACAAAAAACACCCTTTGAAGTGTACGCGAGCTAAAAGGTGCACAGTGCACACTCGCATGTCTCACAACATACTCATGCACAGGCATTCCTGATGAAAACTTGCACTCTCCATGCGACGTGACACGCAAACTCAAACACTTTGATGCCGATTAGTCAGAGCAACATCTGCAGAAGTGCCCTCGACTCTCCTCACATCTGTGACCACCTGCGCCTGGCATGGTCTCTGTTTGTTCAGGAAGCCGTGGAGCAGTTGGTTTCAGGTCACGTATAACTAATAACGTGTGGTTTATGAAAAGAATTATCCCAGAAAAAACACAGAGCGCAGCAGTGTAAGACCACGCTAAAAGGCATTAACTGAAAAAATCAAACTCACATGGGAAAATCAGTGCTTACAAGTCAAAACCTTGTTATGTTTTGACAAAGCCATGCACGCAAATGAGCAGAAACCAGGAGTGACGAGCTCCTCAGGATGGTTTGAGAGACTACACTTTGGTATGTGCCCTATGGCGGCGGTGATGACGGTGACACATCACACAGCGAGGTCGAATGCTAAAGTCTGGGCTGCATATAATAGTCATAGCAGGACGATCAAAGACGAGCAAACCTGCGTTCAGGTAATTACACTTGACCACCTCTCTCTTTTCATGGCCGCCTCTCTCCATCCACTCAGTGAATGCATCGCTGAGCACCACAAAGGTACTTACGCAGGTAATTACTTCCCCTTGTGTCTACCTGTCTCTCTTTCTTTATCCCCAACTTCCTCCACGGCTGTCTGTTCTCCATCACTTTTTCTCTTCCTCTCCCTTCTCAATTACCTCTTTCTTCCCTCTAATTCTCCGACTGCCCCACCTATTTCGCCCATCTCCCGGTCTATCGCCCCGTCTCCAAGTGTCCCCCAGCGAAGTGATTAATCTTGTCCTTTCCGCTACCTGTAGCCCCTCTGACCTTATGAAAAGCCAGGGCATCCCCACCAACAATGGATGTGCTGTTCTGACAGACACAGATAGAAACAGAAGCAGGTAGAGACCCTGCAGACTGTGAGGGGGGCAAAGAAGTTCACCTCCACCCTCAGGAGCAAGATGAAGCTTCTGTCGTGGTTGAGATACGTCACTGCAAGACGTGTGTTTAAATACACACATTCTATCACTCATTAACATACATCCATGATAGAATGTAGATAGAAAATAGGCATGTATGCTGGAACACAAAAAACAGCAAAATGTGGCCATGTACCAACCCCACTTCAACTACCTTCATACTATGATTTCTAGAATCTGTGCACACACTTCAGTCGCTGTCCAGCTTGGATCACACAGACCCAGACATGCCATTGCCTGTCTATGTCATTGATTATTGTGTTACATAGAGATGATAATAACCAGAGCCGGCTTTCACAATGCAGCAGTTTAAAATTCAACGTTGGGACTGATGGAGCTGAAATATGCAGTCACGGGTGGAACTAGCATTAAAATGGGTAACATTAGAAAGAAGACCTGCATTTCTGCACCTCTCTGCATTGCACCATGTTGTGGCCATCATGAAACCATTCTAAGAGGAAACCTCAACCTGTGCAATCCAGGAAATGTGTGCATCCTTGCATGTATGTGTGCATTTATGTGAATGAAAGGAAAAGTTTATGTGCTCCTTCACTCTCCTTTTCGACACGTGCCCACAACTCTGCAGCAACAGCCTCTTATTGTTCTCAAACACCCATTAAAAAGTGGTTAGCTTGGGGGATTTCAGTCATTAAAGAAATGAAATCAGGGCTGCTTGTTGTAGCTGGTTTGCTTGTTGTTCTTCCAGGTTGGCGGTTACGGCCTCCCTCTCTCACTTACTTCTTCTCTCCTTCTTAATCTCTGCTACAGCACAGCTGTTTATTTGTTCAGCAGCAGACATCTTATCTTTTACATTATAACATCAACACACAGCACTGCCATTATGCCATTAACACCAAAGGGCTCTTTAACAGCACGGCGTGCCGCCATGTCTTTGTGCTTCTTAATGGGCCGCAGAATGCTGAGTTACGCAAGTCCTCAATAGGGAGACCATCCAGAATGCTCACTGTGTCTGGGCAGAGAGATTTTGCAATATCCAAAATAATCAACAACTGCACCGCATACGGGAGCTTCCCAGCTCTCCAAGTTGTGTCTCAGCTTGGCAGCAATGTGCCACTGGTTTGGCTGGTACAGTGTTTATGTCATAAGTGCTTGAAGGACTAATTTTCACTACCACAGTTGATAGTAATTCAGAGTGTTGATTCTGGCAAATCAGAACAATAGTCTTTGTTTTGCAAGTCCAAATAATTCCATGATATAAGTAGTGGCCCAAGGGCACAACACAAAATGTAAACTCAGTTAGTAAAACATGTAAGTTTTGTGAGCTAACAAACACAGACAGGGCGAACCAATTTAAAACAGCTGCGAGAGGCAAGAAAAACGTTCCCCTTGTCTACATGATCGTTTGTACACATCTTACAGCCACCGAGGTGCACATGTAAAAACGCTGTGGGATGGAGATGTGGCCGACACTAGAGAAACCTGCTCAGGAGAACTTACGCTAAAAGCTCTCACAGAACTGCACAGATGCACGATGCACAGTCTCAACAACCTGACGCAACAGTCTGCTCTGAATAACTCGCAGTACCGTGCGCCGCTGTGATTAGTCAGCAGAATGTGTGAAGCACAAGCATGAGCATGTAAACATAAATTAGATTTTCACTCATAATTGTGGTAAACAGGATTATTTAGCCTGTTATCATAGTAACCTGGAAAGCAGCTTTATGAGGCTGGCTAAGTGGTGTACAGTTTAACGTCTGCTGTTTAAGCACGGCCAAAGTTACTCACATGGAACAACAAACTCACCTCACTGAGCTTAGCAGAGACACAATCATTTCACATTTGCACTTACATAAACATGTAAGCAAGCACACCACCCAACAGGCACCATGAGACAGCCAGCGAGAGAGAAAAAAAAGAAAGGGGGGAGGAATAATTATAAAGCAGCGAAACATCCAGGAAGGGTAGTTATGACATAAAAGCTCCTGGCATGTACTCTTATTCACACTGGAACCCCAGCAAAAGTTTAAAAAAAATACAAAAAACAACAATTAAAAAGGACCAGGTCACGCCAGCTGCTGTCCATTTCTCCACATCAGGATCTGAAGCAAACCCCCAGTAGTGTGTGTTGTGTTTTAGCTGGTCAACCCAAACCACAAAGTTCCTTTTTCTGACCACCAAATCATAACCATAGTCTATTTCAAAACTACAGCGCTCTCCTTGAGTAATGCAGCTGGGTGAGATAGGTCGAAACCCAACTGCTGCAGCCTTGATTTTAGCAGAAGCCAAAACAAGAGGCCATGTATAGCAATTGAAATATTTTATGCTTTTAGACTTTATGATTTGTTGACAGAGCATGTTTTATTAACTATACCGCTGACACATATGCTGAGAGAATAACTCCTGTTGATAGAGGATTTGCATTTAATAGTGTCTAAAAAGACAAATTTGTGATCATTTCTTAATCTGCATTAAGCTTTTGCACAAAATAAAGTCCAAATAAGTTGAAGGGGACACCCTGGAATACCATATTTCATTAGAAT